TATCATTAATTTCTAATTTCATAGCTCTATGGTCTGATAGCATGCAAGGGATAATTTCAACCCTTTGCATTTATCTAAATATGTTCTGTGAATTAATATATGGTCTATTTTAGAAAATGACCCATGTACTGCTGAGAGGAATGTGTATTCTGTTGTTGTTTGGTGGAATATTCTGTATATGTCTATTAGGTCCATTTGTTCCCAGGTGTGATTCAGTTCTTTTATTTCTTTGTTGATTTTCTGCCTGGTTGATCTATCCATTGGTGTCAGTGGTGTGTTAAGATCTCCTGTTAGACTTGTGTTACTGTTAATTTGGTTTTTCATTTCTGTTAGTACTTGTTTTATATAACTGGGTGCTCTGGAGTTTGGTGCATATATATTTAAGAGAGTTATCGCTTCCTCTTGGAGTTTTCCCCTAACCAGTATTTAGTTACCTTCTTTGTCCCTTGTGATCATTATTGGCTTGAAGTTCACATTGTCTGCAAACAGAATGGCTACCCCTGCTTTTTGCGGGGAGGGGTTCCATTTGCATGAATTATTTTTTTCCATCCTTTGACTTTTTAGTCTGTGAGTATCCTTTTGGGTTAGATGGGTTTCTTGTAGACAGCAAATGCTTGGATTTTGTTTCTTGATCCTTTCTGCCAGTCTGTTTCTTTTAATTGGTGCATTGAGACCATTTACATTAATGGTTATAACTGTTATATGTTGGTTTATTGTTGACATGTTATCTTTCTGCTGTTACATCTTTAGATTTCTGTTCTGTTTAATTGTCTGCTTTGTTTAGTGTTTTTTTCCTAAATGTATCTAGGTTGTCTTTCAATATTCTTACAGGGTTGGCTTGCTGATCATGAAGTTTTTTAGCTGTTCTTTGTCATGCAAGTACCTTATTTCTCCATCGATTTTGAAGGACAGTTTTGCAGGGTGCATCAATGTAGGTTGGAAATCATTTTCCTTTAGGATCTGAAATACTTCACTCCACGCTCTTCTTGACTTTATTGTTTGTGCTGAGAAGTCTGCTGTGATTTTCTTTATAGGTGATCTGTCTTTTCTCTCTGACAGCTTTTAATATTCTATTCTTTTGTTGGATTTCTGGGATGGTGATTATTATATGTCTGGGTGTAGTTTTATTTTGGTTATGGCTATTTGGAGTTCTATATGCTTCACTGATCTTATTATCAGTTTCCAATCTCGTGTTTGGGAAATTTTCAGCTATTACTTCTCTAAATATCCTCTTGACATCCTTTATGTTGTCCCCTTCTTTTTCATGTATCCCTATCATCCTTATTTTGTTCCTCTTTGCATCATCTTGCAGGTGTTGAATTGTTATTTCCTGATTTCTTGTTATTTTAAAAAGACCTTTCCTTTCTTGTCACTGGCTGCAATCTTGTCTTCAAGGTCTGAAATTCTCTCTTCACATTTTACAACTTTCAATGGAGGTTTTGATTTCCTGAATATCTCTTTGCATCTGCTTTATATATTTTGTTTGTTTCTTATATTGTTCATCCAGGGATTCTATCTTTTTGCTTAGTTCCTCCATTTTTTTAACTGTGTCTTCTTTAAATATGTTCAGCATCTCCTTCATTTCTTTTATCATTTCTTCTTTTACCTGAGAGATTATTTCTAGTTTGCATTCCTTTAAGGCTTCCCAGAGTTGCTTCTTTATTTGAGTTACTATTACTTCAGGTATTTCAGGTATGTGGCATGTGTTTTCTTCTATGCATATGGCTCCTAAGCTTTCTTGGGATGGGCTGGAGTTTTGAGATTGCATTTTGGTCTTTCGTTTTGTCATTTTCCTATATTTTCGAGCTTCAAGTATTGTTCCAAGTGAGGACGAGATTTCCTCCAGACTGGGACTGGATTCTGTGCCATGGTCCCCCTCACTGGTCCCGGCACAAATCATTATTTCTTCTTGCTGAGTTAGCCCCTGTGATCATTATATAATGATTTTCTTTGTCTCTACTTACAGCTTTTGATTGAAACTCTATTGTATCTGATAAAGTATGAGTATTTATGATTTCTTTTAGATTCTATTTGCATGGAAGATGTTTTCTCATTGTTTCATTTCCTATTAATGGATATCCTGTGATTTGAATAATTTATTAATATTAATAATTTATAATTATTAATTATAATAATTAATTCTATAAGCAAAATGTAGCTTGGCCTTGTTACAATGTATCTTTAATTTCGGAAGTTAATCTATTTCCATTTACAGTATCTATTGATAGTTAAGATCTTACTAACATAAGGGAAAAAACTCATCTTGCTAGATGTGCAATATGAGTTTATGTTGTCTAAATTGAAGAATAAATTTTAGGAGCAATAGACGTTAAAGACAGAATATATTTATTGAGAGAAAGAAAGCTTCTGTCTGAGCAATGCAAAAGGAATCCTGAGTGGGTTGCCTAGGACACTAGGGATTTTTATAGAGCAAATCCTTGACATAAGGCAGGTCCAAAATGCGGGGAAATGGAAAATCACAAGGTGGTCATAATGTGGGACACAACAATTGTATAATTGCTCAAGTAAGTTTGATTAAATGGGAAAGTGAGTCAGGTAGCAAGTGGTTATGAGAACAGAATAGGGTTATTTTTGTAGGGGGTTGGGTTAGTAGGTCCTTCTGGTTTCCTCAGGTGATTGGTACCTGTTTAGAATATCAATCCTTGATGTTTATGCTTAGGAAATATGTGGGTGCATTTGTTTTATCTTTTGTCTTTAGGTCTGGCCCATAGCCTGAGGTGTTAGTCTCCCCCACAGACTCAATGTGTTTGGTCTTCTGCACTAACTCCTTTGAGATCCTATCCTTATCTCATTGCTTATATTTCTACATAACTTAGCTTCCTATAACATTACTACTGACACTTTGTTATCTTTTTCTGGGGTTTTATTTGCTGTTCCATTCTTTCTTTCTCCCTCTTTTATAAGTTTACTTTATGGTTAAATTGTTTCTCTACTAGTGTGTTTTGATACTTTCACTATTAGTTTTTAGTGTCTGGGCAAAATAAAGTTTACAAAAACATCTTTTGATTATAAAATACATTTTGAAGAGACAGCAAATTAGCACTGATCTTGAAAATACAGATAACAAAGGAAAATGCTGATAGTTTCCACATTTGCACTCCATTCCTGCCCAATATTTTGAATTTTTGATCTCCACATTACATATTTTTGTTGATTACCTACAGCATGTTAATAGTTATTAGTATTTAAATCATTATATTTTTATTTTTATTATTTATAAGTGATTTGCAAATCATGTTTACAGTAACAGAGCATTTTTAATTTGTCAGTATAATTAGTCTTACCAATGAGTTTTATAGCTTTTGAAGTTTACTTCTTACTAATAACTTTTCTTGTTTGAGAAATTCCCCTTACTATGTTTCACAGGATAGGTCTATCAATAATGAATTCTCTCAACTTTTGTTTGCCTGGGAATGTGCTGATCCTTTAATTTCTAAAATAAGCTTTGTTCTGCTCAATTTTATTCCTTTACATTGATAGTCTCATCCTACTTCCACTTCCACTTAGTCTGTAAGTTTCTTGCTGTTAACCTTTTTTTTTGTACCAGCAAGCTGATAATTATTCCAGGTGAATTGAGACACACTGATGAATTTTTTCTGCTTTTTTATTTCTTTGGTATCTCTCTTGGTTACTTATCTCTACTTGCTGGAACAAAATACCTAACACCCAAAATGAAGAAAGGAGAGATTTAGAAAGGAGTAATAAATATTAGTTCACTGTGGAAGTTTCAGTCCCTAATTAGCTGGCTCCAAAGCAGGGTAGCATGGCACTGAGGCAACAGTTCAAGGCAGCAGCCAGAGTAACAAGCCTCTCCTCCTTTATATTGTACACAGGCCACCATCCCTCCAGGGAGGATGTAGCATTTACAAATTCTCTGTGCCCTCCTCTTGTACAGGATGAGGATATTTACAAGTAAGGGTCCTGACTCCCTACTGAGTCTCTCAGTTAAACTTCTAAACTTCTCAAGTTGACACAGTCTCTGTCCATGTCACGCTGCCTAGCGTTGGAGGAGCATTGCAGTAGGAATTACTAAGGCACCAGTGTTGCAACACTGATTCATATTCAGAGCCTGTAGCCAAAGGAGACAAGTATAGCAAAGGGAAAAGAACAGAAGTCTGTGTTGATATCATTTACATGATTTGAGACTGCTGTGGTCAGCCAGTGATGTTGTTTGCCAGAATATGACTTCATCACATTGAAGCAACAGGTCTGTCTGTCCAGCACTGAGGTAGTTCCTAAGACTCTATAGGCACAGACCCAGAGACAAGGACTTTTATCATCTGCATAGTGTTTTGCTTCACCAACCCAGCATTAAGATCCAAAGCAAAGTCCTGCACATAATCCCCTGGCTAAGCCCTTAATAGATGCATTTTTTTCTTGACTACATTCCCAAGGTTGAGAAAGGGGTGGTAGAGAAAATCCTTTAGCTATCAAGTTAGGGCCCATCTGTGAACACTGCCCTGAGGGCAGGAGCCATGAGGCTCTGTCCAGTATTGGCTTTCACTGTGACAGGACTTGTACTAAATTCTAAGATTAGAGTCTAGAATTCATTCTATTTCCCTCCTCCAAAAGAGGTTTTTTTCTTCATGTTGCAATGAATATTGTTTGGAGAAGGCTAGTACATGCAACTCAGTTTTTCTTAACTTCTTCAAAGTTTTTTATTATTATTATAATAAAACCAAGTACTATAACTTCTTACTACTTTCACTGAGCTTTTGTACATGAATAACTATTCTCATTAGTGTTTCTGCAAGGAGACAAGTACTAAAGGCTCTTATGTTGCCATCATTTTACTCTGACTTCAGTAATATTTCTTTTCTGTTTTTTTTAACTTCATTTTTATTTTTAAAGACGGTAAAATTAAACATAACAAAACAGATCATAAGATACCAATGGAAGAGACACAGATTTCAAAGCAAGACAGTCAGAGATCTTCACTGTTTATCATTCATTTTGGAATTTTTTAGACAGAGTCTCACCATGTAGTTCAAGCTGGCCTCAAGCTGGCAGTGATCCTTCTGTTTCAGCCTCACAGGTGCTGAGATTACAGATGTGTACCACCATACCTGGTCTCCAGTAATATTTGTGTGCACAACTGTAAACTGTATGAAAAAGAAATCAAGAAAATAGTGTCATTCACTGTCGCTACCAAAAAAAAAAAAAAAAAAAAAAACAAAACCCACAAAAAATACCTTGGAATAAGTTTGGCCAACGTGAAATTTCTAATGAAAAAACTGATGAAGACAAAAAAACAGTTGAAAGTCTTGATTTAGAAAAGTTAATAACAGTAATACATTTATGCTACATGAAATGATCTGCAGATTCATTGGAATTCCTGTCAAAATACCAATGATACTATTCAAAGTAATAGAAATACTAATCGTAAAATTCATATGGAAATACAAAGAAGCCCAAATAGTCAAAGCAATCTTGAGTAGGATGAACTAAACCACAGTCTTCATGCTACCTGATTTGAAAAGCTATAGCAAGGTTAAAATAATCAGAACAATATGGTTCTGGCAAGAAAAAGGACACATAGAGTAGTGAACCAGAATAAAGGTAACAAAAATTTAACACACACTTCATGGTTGATTTGATTTTGACAAAGCTTTCAAAATTACATTGGGCATAAAGCATAGTCTTCTCAATAAAGATTTCTTTAAAAAACTGAATTACCACATGCAGAATAATAAAATTAGAAATTAGATTGCATCAAAGTGATATGTTTCTATAAAGGAAAAAATCAACAAAATGAAAAGACAACCTGTGAAATGGAAGAACTTATTTACAAACCATGCATGTAATATGGGATTAACGTCTAAAATCTATAGGGAACACAAACATTCAATGGCAAAATAAAAATTTTTATGTGAGAATTTTTTTTATTTTAAAAAAAAAGAAAGCTATAAATGATAAAGAATTTTTTAAAAAATTGTATGAAATTAACACTAGTTAATACAGTGCATATTATTATTTTAGAAATAGTTGTTCAGGTTACAAAATTTAGGCAAGAAAAATTATCAAAAAATCAGAGAAAGCACAAACTGTTCTTTTAGATGAACTTGTAGATATTAGTAGTGTGATTATCTATCTTGTGTGTGTGTGTGTGTGTGTGTGTGTGTATATGTGTGTGTGTGTGTGTGTGTGTGTGTGTATAAATTGTAATGATAAAAGTACCTGAATAAACTTTTCCCAAAAATGACATAAAATGGCGAACTTTTGTATGAAAAAAAAATTTCAGTATCACTAATCATCAAGGAAATGAAAAAAAAACCAGATATTATTTCAAAGTTTTAAAAAACACTATTAAAGATGAAACATAAAAAGCACCAGTGAATAGGTGAAGAAAAAGCACCATTGTTCATTTTTGTATAAATGAATATTAGGACAGTCATTATGGAAAACAACATGTAGATTCATAGAAAAATTAAAAATAATGCTAGCACATGATCCAAGCCTCCCATTACTGGATATATATTCAAAGGACATGGAATCAGTATGTGAAAGAGACATCTGTACTCCTATGTTTGTTGCAGCACTATTTACAGTTATTCACAATAGGCAAGATACAGATACAACTTGGTTGACTACCAGTGAATGAATGGATAAAGGAAAATGTGTGAATATACACAGAATGCAATTTAGCCATAAAAATAAGGAAATACAAGCTGGAGGGAGTGGAATGCACCCGAAATCTCAGCATTCTGTGGGATAGAAAATTCAAGCACAGTCAAGGTAATGTAATGACTTTAAGAGACCATGTTTCAAACTATAATAAAAGGCTAGAGACATAGCACAGTCCAAAAATCTTTAGTTGAATCCCCAGTCCTCTCACACCATAGAAGATATTTTCATTTGTACAATAAAATAAACCAGGCACATAAAGACAAATGCTACATGCTCTTATATGTGTAGCATTTTAAAAAGTAAAAGTCCCAGAAACATAGAGTAAACTTGATGATTACTGGAAGCTGGGGTCAGAGGATTTAAGATATCAGTAAAAAAAAAAGCACAAAATTTCAGTTAGACACCAAAGAGATTGATTGACCACCATAGTGATGACAATTAATAATATATACTCATAATGAAGTATTATATTTTTGAAAATTGTTCACAGTAGATTTTAAGTGTTCTCATCAAAATAGTGGTGAGTTTTAGGTTTTTTGGCATGGTAGAGAAACAAAGGCACAAAAAGGAAAAAGGCCTTTGTTGCAGGCAAGGGAGGGCTGCAGAAATATGCAAGAACCCTTGTGAGGCAGATGAAGACACCATGTGCCTGGGACTCTGGAGTTCTGGGCCTGCTGGCGCCATCGGTTCCAGAGGCTGGGCAGCCTGGGGTGAATGTCCCGCACCATCCCCCAAGCCCAGCTAGTTTGGGATCCTTGCTTGGCCCAGGACAGGGTACTTGGCAGCTTCCTGTTGCACTGGACCAGCTCCGCAGGTCTTGAGCCAGCCTGCCCAACCCCCAGTGATCCTCACTCAATCCAGGGAACTGGGCAGCCAGAGTCCCAGGAGCTGAGAGCATAGAAGAGGATTTCCAACAGGCCCAGGGTAAGCCTTAGAATAACACTTGAAACACAGAAATATAGGAAAATGACAAAAGACCAAAATGCAATCTCAAACCTCCAGCCCATCCCAAGAAAGCCTAGGAACCATGTACATAGAAGAAAATATATGCCATACACCTGAAATACCTGAAATAATAGCAACTGAAATAAAGAAGCAACTTTGGAAAGCTTTAAAGAAATTCAAGCTAGAAATAATCTCCCATAGGGGCTGGGGGTTTAGCTCAGCGGCATAAGCACCTGCCTTGCAAGCAGGTGGTCGTGAGTTCGATCCCCGGTACCGATAAAAATGAAAAAGACAAAAAAAAAAAAAAAAAAAAAAGAAATAATCTCCCAGGTAAAATAAGAAATGATAAAAGAAATGAAAGAGGTGATGAACATATCTAAAGAAGACACAGTTAATAAATTAGAGGAACCAAAAAAATAGAATCCCTTGATGAACAATATGAGAAACAAACAGAATACATAAAGCAGATGCAAAGAGATATACAGGAAATCAAAAGTTCCATTGAAAGTTGTAAAAACTGCCTCAATGAAAGTGAAGATATAATTTCAGACCTCGAAGACAAGATTGCAGCTAGTGAATAGGAAAGGAAAGATCTTTTAAAAATAACAACAAATCAGGAAATAACAATTCAACAGCTGCAAGATGATGCAAAGAAAAACAACATAAGATTGATAGGGATAAATTAAAAAGAAGGGAACAACATAAAGGATGTCAAGAAGATACTTAGAGAAGTAAGAGCTGAAATTTTCCCAAACATGAGATTGGAAACTGGTATCAGGATCAGTGAACAGATAGAACTTCAAATAACCATAATCAAAATAAAACTACACCCAGACATATAATAATCACCATCCCAGAAATCCAACAAAAGAATAGAATATTAAAAGCTGTCAGAGAGAAAAGACAGATCACCTATAAAGAAAATCACAGAAGACTTCTCAGCACAAACAATAAAGTCAAGAAGAGTATGGAGTGAAGTATTTCAGATCCTAAAGAAAAATGATTTCCAACCTAGACTGATGTACCCTGAAAAACTGTCCTTCAGAATCGATGGAGAAATAAGATACTTGCATGACAAAGAAGAGCTGAAAAACTTCATGATCAGCAAGCCAACCCTGTAAGAATACTGAAAGACAACATAGATACATTTAGGAAAAAACCACTAAACAAAGCAGACAATTAAACAGAACAGAAATCTAAAGATGTAACAGCAGAAAGATAACATGTCAACAATAAACCAACATATAACAGTTATAACCATTAATGTAAATGGTCTCAATGCACCAATTAAAAGAAACAGACTGGCAGAAAGGATCAAGAAACAAAATCCAAGCATTTGCTGTCTACAAGAAACCCATCTAACCCAAAAGGATACTCACAGACTGAAAGTCAAAGGATGGAAAACAATACTTCATGCAATGGGAACTCCCAAAAAAGTGGGGGTAGCCATTCTGTTTGCAGACAATGTGAACTTCAAACCAATAATGATGAGAAGAAATAAAGAAGGTCATTACATACTGATTAGTGGAAAACTTCAAGAGGAAGAGATAACAATCTTTTTTTTTTGGTCTTTTTCTTTTTTATCATTACTGGGGATCGAACTCATGACTGCCTGCTCGCAAGTCAGGCGCTTATGCCACTGAGCTAAATCCCCAGCCCTGAGATAACAATCTTAAGCATATATGTACCAAATTCCAGAGCACCCAGTTATATAAAACAAGTATTAACAGAAATGAAAAACCAAATTAGCAGTAACACTATTATAACAGCAAACCTTAACACCCATTGGCACCAAGGGACAGATCAACCAGACAGAAAATCAGCAAAGAAAAAACAGACCTGAATCACACCTGTGAACAAATGGACTTGATATACATATACAGAGTGTTCCATCCAAAAATATCAGAATACACATTCTTCTCAGCATTACATGGGTCATTCTCTAAAATAGACCATATATTAGCTCACAGAACATATTTAAATAAATGCAAAAGAGTTGAAATTATCCCTTGCATGTTATGGGGTCATAGCCCCAGGAAATTAGAAATTAATGATAAAGGATCCTGCAAAAATCCCACAAATACATGGAAACTGAATAACACATTCTTGAGTAATCAGTGGGTCACAGGGGAAATTAAAGAAGAAATTAAAGAATACCTACAAGCAAACAGAAATACAAATACAACTTACCAGAATCTGTGGAATGCAATGAAAGCTGTCCTCAGAGGAAAATTTATTGCACTGAGTTCCCACATCAGGAAAACAGAACCAATACAAATAAATAACCTGATGTTACACCTCAAACATCTAGAAAAAGAAGAGCAAGTCAAGCCCAAAGTCAAAATAAAAGAGGAAATTATGAAAATCAGAGCAGAGATTAATGCAATAGAGACTAAGAAAACAATGCAAAGAATCAATGAATCAAATAGTTGGTTCTTTGAAAGAATAAATAAAATCGATAAGCCCATAGCCAACCTTATTTAAAAAAGGGAAGAAAAAGCTCAAATTCTTGCAATAAGGAATGAAAAAG